ACCAAAAAACTTTGGTTTGACCCTTTTCCGATATAATAAATAAATGTGTCATTTTAATTTATTTTTTTTGTATAAAACACGAGCTTGTTAGCGTTTGTTTAGTTCTATTCTGATTGTCCAGATTACTGTGGATTGCGGGCTTATATGCTTATTATGATTAAAAACCAAAAACGAATAAAAAATAAATAAAAACGTGATTATTTGCTTAATTAACACTTCATCTCGAAACCTAATCGTGTTTCCAGCTAACCTGCTAATAGCTGAAGCTAACCCAATTAGTTTTACGTATTTTCAAAATTCTTGCACTGATTCAACGTGTTTATATTTGATAAAATTCGTCCATGCACTGATTCAACGTGTTTATATTTGACAAACTCATACAAAAGACTGTCAGGGAAAACCAAAAAAAAAAAGTGTTTGTCTTTCCTTTTGTTTCTTTTTGAAAGAAAGTCGAAGAAAAATCACAGCAAATAAACATTCATGTCAAATGAGTACATTTTAATTACTAAATCATGAAAAAAATATATAATTGTAATTAGTAACTAGTACCAGAACCAGTAGTACACCTATAGACACAAGGTGAAGGGAAATACGCACCAATTTATTCCAAACATATCACCTGATCAGCACATTCCACACAATTGTGCTGTAAATACGTGGAGACCACGTGACCGTACTCGGAAGTGACGCGTGGTGCTCAAAAGAGTTGTGCAAAGCATCTGGATCAAAGCAACGGCAGCTACGTCTCATCTGACGGTAGAGGACATAGGAGGGACAGACGTCAGTGCGGACTGCCACTTTCACTTACCGTCGGTTATTATCAGCAGAACGAGGTGTGTGTGTGTGCGCCTGTGTTCGATCGAGTGTGCGTGTTACCTGTGTTGCGGGGACCGGAGGGGCTGCGGGACACAGCTGTCTGTGGGCTCCTCTGCGGCCTGCGGACAAGCTGCCCTCATCTGGCCGCCGCTGGCCCGGACACGGTGCGGCGGTTGTCGGCGGTCAGACAGGTGAGCGACAGCGTGTCCGCGAGGGCGCAGAAGGCTACTTGCCCGCAGGGGCGGACGTGCTCAGGTGGGCGCAGGCTCGAGGCTGTGCCCGCTCATCATAACAAAGCCCCGGTCCCTGCTCTCACTTCTTCCAGTGACAGGTTGCCATCTTTATTTTTACAGGAACATAACGTCACCTGTAAACAAGAGCGTGTGTGTATTTGTGTTTGTGTTTAACGTATTACTCCTGCATATCTCACTGCTGTCTGTTGTTTTTATGTATTTTTTTCGTTCTTCATGCCAATGCTAATGTTATACTTTAAAAAATGGTCGGTGCGTTATCGGTTTTTAACGCGTACACAGACCCCAAAACGCATTTTTTGAGGGGGAAAATGGGGGGGGAAAGAAAGAAAATTTAAAGGTAGTTATTAATTTGCTAAATGAATTCTACTATTTATATATATATATATATAATTTTGCATTCCATTTTCATTAGTTAAAGGGAACGTACACAAAGTTTAATCAAAAGTGTGTGTCTCCTCCGTGAATTGCATGCCTATACTTTATGCCTAGTGGAGCAACTGCCTACGTTTTATTGACATATTAAAATTCTAGTAGTTTGTTGTACCTGCTGTGTAAACATGAGGGATATTCAGTTATAGCAGCGTTTAATATTTCTGCAGGGACCAGATACCAGGGGTATCAAACTCATTCCACCTTAATTAGATGTCAAGTGGGATGGACCATCGTAACATAATTACCTTTAAATAACAATAAGTCCGTGTTTTCCCTCCTTTGTTTTCATGCAAAGAAGTACATTAAGAAAACTCTCAATTATATATTTTTTAAAATTAATTATAATGAAATATAATTTTACATTTCCTGTATTTGGAAATTCATCAAGTGTGCTGGCCTGTAACCCCAAACGGGCCGGTTTTGACCCGCAGGCCATATGTTTGACCCCCCTTTTCCTCCTTTTCACACACACACCCACACACAAAAACTAAAATAAAATAAATGTAGCTACTTTGCGTTAATGTCGGAAATACATAGGCAATGTTTTTTTTTTATACATTTTCTAAACCCCACTTTTAGAACCGAATACTTTTGTCCATTTCGTACACATGAGCCAGGGGTTGGAATTTAAAAATATATATATATATATATACATTTTTTTTATAGTTTTCATTACATCCTCATTGCTGTCATCTGTTAAATCTTGGTGTTTCTACGTGCTTCACAAAACGGTGATTTTAATTTCGATTGGGTCTTTCTGATACTTTGTATTCTTTTTCCATTGTTTTCATTCTCCATTTTTGTAAATCCCTATTTTTGTGACATGTATCTCACATCTGATCTCACATCCGAAACGTTACATTACTATATAATGGAGAATAAGAGCGAGAATATCTTAGGTCACGATTGCAGATGGGGTCGAATTCAGCCCACAGTGCTACTGGAGGGGGACAGGCTCACTAGATATGCGATTCCACTCACATACGGCGTGTGTGGACAGCGCACGGAAAGGACAAAGGAACTAAAATGACTATGACCCGGCAAGGTCGTCTTATACGAGCCACTTGGCACCTTTGCCGTGCTCCTCACTACAGAATGAGATCACGTTCTCGGTGTGACACATCTCTCCGGCTCCGTTGGTAAAATGGTGAGATGGATGCGTCCGATTAGGGGCTTTGCAGTCCACGGAGCCCGTGAGATAGTGGAGGATTCCTTTCTGGTATTCCGAGATTAGAGAACTTGTGTTGGTACTCCTTCAGGTGCTTGTAGGGTGTCACCTTCACAATTGGTATCGAATGCACCGTTTAGTATGGATAAGTGATAAAAAAAAAGAAGGGAAAGCTGGAGTTCTGAGCCAAGGTTGATGTCCCGGTGGCCGTTATCCTGGATTGCAGTATGGACATCTGGGGACATGTAATGTTGAATTGAATTGAATTAGATAAACAACTAATATAGGGTGTTGTTTTCTTTAGTGTGTCCTTGCTGTCTGTATCTAAAATCTGAAATGTGTATGTCAGGGGTCAGAATTTTTAAGGCCACCTTGGGGCCAGAGAGTCAAATAAAATTACATAAAAATCACACAATGTTGGGGATTACGGATAGTTGTTTAAGAGTCAGTTGTTGATTTCCAGTTGCATTAGTAGTTTTCTCTTTGATCCTCCCAATTTTGGAATTCAGTCGTGGGCTGGTTTCCAGTCGATTGGATGGTTCGTGGGCCACATTTGGCCCCGCAGGCCACCAGTTGATCATCACCTGTGTATGTTGTTTGTAAGCATACATTTAATGTGATGACTTTGGTCTGGAGCGATCACAAGCTTGTGTTTTTTTTTAGTCTCTACACCGTTAGCTACAGCTTTATTGTACGAAAACGACCAAAACAAAGCACGCTTCGCTGGTTTACATTGTTCGGTTTCGGCTCTAAGGAAACATCTGTTTGTTTTAGCAATTGTGAAAGAGCAGCTGTAACAGATGTCTCAGTGGTCTCCTGAAAACAAACGCTAACAGATTTGAATATTTGATGCTTTATTTAATTTACTCAGGATAACCAGCTGTAGTTCATTACGGATCAGTAATAACTGAGTGTCGGAGAGCAACCTTGAATTTTTATTGCTGTCATGTGTCCTGTCTGACGACGAACTGCGCAGGGTTTTAGTGTGAAAGTTAGCGACGCGATAATTTTAAGAATACAGTGGATCCTCGGTTGTCGAACTTAATTTGTTCCTGAAGGCGAAACCAATGAAAATAATCATTACAACTATTCTTGTTCTCACTACTTCTCTGTTTCAGCTTTTCCACTTTTACTAGCTTTTTTTAGGACACATGGTGATTTATGGAATTAAAAAAAAAATATATATAGCACAGTGCAAGAAATACTGGCAAAATCGGACAACAGTTTTTAGCATGAATATCTCAAGCACAGACTGACGCAACACACTTGCACAGTATTATCTCTTGTTCGGCAACCGAGCTACGGTACGACAACCGGAGCAATTTTTTGGTTAAATTGTTTGTCTTGACGTGTTTGTCTTGGAAAAAATTGCCATACCTTCTTCTCTCCGTCACTGCAGGATCTCAATAAAGTGACCAGTATGAATCCAGTGTACAGCCCCGCACCAACAGGGGTCCCTTTCACTAACAGCAAGGGATTAGGCTATCCAGGTAAAGCAACGATTACATAACCCTCCTCATATTAAACCACCACCAAGCTGAAGATTTCACTATCAATTTCTTCTTCGTCTTTGTTCACGGCAGCTGGATTCCCTGTCGGCTACGCGGCAGCAGCAGCTGCTCCAGCTTACACACAGAACATCTACGCAGGAACGAACCCGGCCTTCACCAGTGGTGAGAAGCTTATTTGACGCTACGAACCTTATCTAAATATCTCATCTCTTTCTCATATGTTTGTTTTGGTTTGCATCGGCAGATGCTGCAAGTTGCAGTATTGTGAGTAAGGATACGTGATCCAACAAAGCCAAAGTATATATTATACTGGCTTCTAGATGCATTGAAGCTGTTCAAGTGAATTAAAAAGGGGATAGTTACAATGTACTTTTAACTTCTGAAAACATTATTACATAAGTACAAAGCAACATGAAACGCTTCCCAAAGTAGCCCTGTGGTGTTTTCTTGTTATGCCGTCCTCAAACTTTTAACTTCTAAGCAGCGATGCAAACCGATTTACTGAGGTCAAAATGATGACATACCTGTTAAAAAAAAAATTCCAAATTGATTATTTTAGCTGTTTTTTTTTTCTTTCTTACAGATAAACACCAGCAGTACTAATGTGACTAATGTACTAATGTGAGTCTTCTTTCTCGCTTTTCAGGCTATGCTCCGGGCACTCCATTCAAAATGTCCTGCTCTCCCAACACAGGAACTGTTCCACCCTACTCCTCCTCACCCAACCCGTACCATGCTGCAGTCTACCCTGTAAGGAGCACCTACCCCCAACAGAACCCATATGCACAGGTACTCCTTGACGGACCATACGGGTCATCTATCTATCCATCCATCCATCCAGCCTTCACGGACCATACGGGTCATCTAACTATCCATCTATCATCCATTCATCCATCCATCTCGCCATCTATCTATCCATCCATCTATCCATCCATCTATCCATCTATCTATCTATCTATCTATCTATCCATCATCTATCCATCCATCCATCTATCCATCCATCTATCCATCTATCTATCTATCCATCATCCATCCATCCATCCATCTATCCATCCATCCATCCAATTCGGTTCATTTCAATTTTCTGATTTTCTCATTCAGTTCATTTCAATTTTCTGATTTTCTCATTTTAAACGCTTATAACTGGATGCCCTGCTCTCCTTTCTCCGATCCAGGCATTAATACCATCACAACAGCAGGGCACTTACTACACACAGCCGCTGTATGCTGCGCCGCCTCATGTTATACACCACACAACGGTGGTCCAGCCAAATGGGATGCCAGCAGCCATGTATGCGCCCACTATCCCTCCGCCGCGCCCCAACGGTGTCGCCATGGGGATGGTAGCTGGTACCACCATGGCCATGTCTGCTGGTGAGTCGCACGTCGTTTTATTATTGGGAAGTGAAAAGCTAGGTTCATATGAGTATCTGCTGTTACAAAGAAGATGATGTTTGTCACAAACGGCTGTCTGACAGACTTGTTTTTGGTCAGTAGTCAAATGTCGGAACAAACCGTGATCGTAGTGTTGAATTGCAAATTATTGTCTTACAATTATTGCACGTTTATTGGAACCCAACAGAAAATGTTATTGGCATTGGTACTTTGTAACTGTGAGTACACAAAAGAAAAAATACTAGTACAGGGGTCCTCGGTTTACGTCGCCATCTCCCATAAATTTATAAAAAAGTTGTACGGCATTAAAATTTGCTGTTGGTGATCGGACAAAAACGTCAACAAGTGGCGCTGTATGTAGAAGACGTCTTTGTTTACGTTCGACGATTGTAGTACTACATTTGCTTTCTTTCGTCTGTGTTGGGGGTTTTGGGGGAACTTTTTGCCCTTCATTATGTCTCCCAGGCGTAGGTCAGACTCTTCTGATGTTTTCATGTCCTAGATCAGTGGTTCTTATTCTGGGTGCGATCAAACCCCAGGGGTTTGGTGAGTCAGGCTCAGGGGTTCGGCGGAGGACAACACACACACCCGACTCATTTGATTCGTGACGACACGCCCTCCGCTTGGCCATCACCGAAGGGTACGGTGAATGTGCATATTAAACTGGTGGGGTTCAGTACCTGCAACGAGGTTAAGAACCACTGTCCTAGATTATGATGTTACCACTTAAGTGACTTAGGTAGTTATGTACAGTATGTGAGTTCCAATTTATGTCGCACCACAGGAACAGAACTAGTCAAGGACCCCCTGTACACGTATTTCATTTCTAAAAACATTTATAAAATTTGTCGGAAAGCTTTGAAATTTTACAAACACTTCTGATTCTGAACCAAGTGGAAAAATGTGTGAAATTAATCAGATACATTTTTGAATGGATTGTAACAGATGGGTATATATATATAATATATAAATAAATGAATGTTGATTTACCCATACTAATCACAGTCATGCAGGATTAATTATGATCCACGTTATAATCCAGATTAATCCAAAGACACCCTATGATGCGATACCCTGTAAGCACCAGATTACAAATTTGATTCACTCTGCTTCTTAGGAACCTTGTTGACAACTCCATCACCAGCGCCAGTTGCCCCCCACCAAGTCACAATGCCCACCTACAGGCCTCCTGGGACACCCAGCTACAGCTATGTGCCACCTCAGTGGTAAAAGTAGGGAAATGTGAGTATGATGTGAAGACCTGAAAAATAGGTGATGGATATCAGCCCTGGTGTTAACCCATGTGTTGTTGTTGTTGTTGTTGTCGCTGCTGCAGGTCAGAAGAAGGTAGATATGCATTCACACTCACCAGTGTTTTCTGCTCTTGGTGAAGACCTGTTTTACCAGAGTCTGCAACCAATTACTCCTCTTCCAGCATAATGTGAATCTTATACCTTACTACATAGATAGAGGTCCATCCATACATGGAGGTGGTGGTGAATTGCCTCAGTTGCCATTAACACCCCCCACCCCTCCACCTCTCCCTCTTAATAAAAAAACGGCTGCATCCCACGCCACTCCCCAGTGCCAGCACCTCTGCAACCTGCTGCATATCCCACATCCAACAGCAGGGCGTCCATGCAATTTTTTTTGTTCCCGTCGACTGTCGTGCAGGTTTTTATAGCTTAAACTGTAAGTGGTGAAAAGGGGACTTTGGAATAGTTTCATTAGCTAGGGGACATATAAAGGACACACACATGAACACAGTGTTGAATGCATGTGTAAATATAATTATATGAAGTAATGCTAGCTCAATCTACCTGCTGTGACAGATGCAAAATCAACAAAAGGCACACATCCAAAGGATCTAAAAAAAAAAAAAAAAAAAAAAACGAAGAAGAATAAAAGTAATAATCTTTAGTGCTGACTCACCAGTGTTTTATGTGAAAGAAGAAAAGACGAGAAATGTTATTCCATGCAAAAACGATCCTGCATAACCGGTGCAGGCTAAACTGTGCTATTTTCACGGCTTTGTGTTTTTTCGGCAAGTGACGTTAGTTTTTAATATTCCTTTAGTGATGCACCGTCTGCAGAATGTCTTACCATTTTTGTATTTTAGATAAGACTTTGAGTTTGTGCCTTTGACTGATGGCCATTCTGACTATAAATTCCTTTTTTTTTATTTCAAATGATTCATTGCTATAACGAAAAAAAAAACAGTTTCATAGCTTGCAGAGTTTAAAGGAATTTTCTTGCGTATAAAAAACCCCACCTTTGGGTGAATTCATTGTTTTAAGTAATTGTTTATTCTATACACAAGTATTTAGGACTGTATCGCATTACATGCAGTAGGATGTTTTTGGAAAATAATTTGCACCTTTTGAAAACCATAAGTTCACGGGAGCATTTTGTGTCTGAGCGTGTGTGCGGCTGTAAACGTGTGTATGTGCGCGTGCATTGCGTGAAAGAGGAGTTTAAACGTAATAAATTTGTGCCATATAGCGCGACGTAAATTTTGAGACTACATGTCAAATGAGTCAGTTAGTCCTTAGCTGTGACAACAGGGAATCACTAACTGTAATTAGAGGTTCATCATATGACTAAAGTATATTTATGTATAGCACTACTGAGTAAAAGGCACTAATTGAAATTTGACCTTTTGGACGTTGCATATACTGGACAACACGTCAACATTACTGTTTCAGACATGTTCTTCTATGTTGCCTCAGTCACCTCTGTTTAATTATCTGTTTGTAAATGTTATTTTTGTGATTTTGGTTCTTGTTTTGTATTCTTAAGACCAAAAATAAAAACAAAATGGAGGATACATTGTTGTTTTGGGTTTTTCTTTTCAAGAATAGAAATGGAACACATTGCCCAGCTTACCCCTTACTCCCTTGCTTGGTTCTGATTATTTTAATTGTTCTAGTTAAATTTCAAATATATAAGTAAATAAATAAATAAACAGTATAAACGTAAACATACCATTACATGGTTATTTTTGTTGGTTATGTTATATAAAAACTAGTCTAGCGTCATACCTACGTCATCCTCATCCAAAAGGACACACTGTCCCTTTAAGAGGTGGGCGGCGCTGGCGGCTACGACGCAGTTACGTGTAGAAAGATTTCCCGACATGCACTGAGGCGCGCCAGTTTTTTTAGATGTTTTAACTAAAACAGAGGCGGCTTAATTTTTAAGGACAACCTCGGCGCTGTTTTGCTTGTATTCGTTGTAGTTTTTTGTAAGTAAAGTTGTTGACACTTTTGACACAACTAGCGCTGTAAGTATTCTGTTGTTTAATCTCTTCAAATCTATTTATGTTACTGTGTTTACAGTGAGGTTTTACATAAGGTGACTGTATGGCGAAATGACATTTGACAGATTACGGTTTAACAATATGGCAAATTATTATAAATTCGCATATAAGTCACGTCCATGACTAACAGACAAATGTGGATTTGTTATCAACCTTCAATGTCAGCGGTGTGGATGCTGCTTTTAGAAGCCAGGGAAGGATGAGCAACCAAGAACTGAGCATTGGTTCAGCAAAACCAGCTGAGCTTTTCGAGGAACTATGGAAACAACTAAGACAGTGTCACCAGGAAACACTGCAAGGTAGTTATTTCCATACAGAGTAGTACTCGTATTTAAATATATATTTTTAAATATTCAAATGAAAATACCATTTTTTTTTCAGTGCTGGAAGCAAAAGTGAGCAACTTGAAAAAGGACCGCTGTCTGTGAGTACTTTGGAATTTAAAAACATTTTGAAGTGTAGCTCTGTATAGTTAAATTTCTCTATTATGTTGGAAATCATTAGCATCTCAGCTAAGAATATCAAAATCTTTGTCTATGCGACGGTGATGTGCAGAACAATACAGATAACTTCCACTAGATGGCAGCAGATGGCAATAAAAACATAAAAATATATATATTTTAAGATTTCTTTTAATACTGTATGTATGTAGCGTGGCTCAAAAAACAATTGGGAAACACCGACTTAAACATTACGGTTGGAGGAGATAGTTGGTCAGTCATTAAAACACAAACACACAGCAAAATATGTAAATAAAAATGTTGAGTTTTTTTTATTTGTATTATTCTGGGTTTATAAAGTTTATATCTGAATGTACAAATTGCTGCAGTTCTAAATATTTGTATTAATCTATAGACTTTTTGTGGGTTTATAAAGTTTATATCGGAATGTACAAATTGCTGCAGTTCTAAATATTTTTTTTAATTTTTGTTGTGACATAGAGATGCTCAGAGGCTTGAAGTGTTTTATAGTCGTAACCAGCAGCTGAAGGAGGAAAACAAAAAACTGCAGGAAGCTGTCAGTCATTTGGAGGAAAGGTATGACCCTTCAGTCAAGAAGAGGTTAAGTTAATACCTTTTGACACAGACAGAGAACCAACTAGTGAATGTTCACTGTATCCAGGCTCCGAGCAAGGGAGTGCGATCGATGTGCCACCTTAGGGGAGGAGCTGAAAAACAAGGAGGATCAGCATCGGAGTCTAATCACTAAAATGAGTGAGTGGAGTTTTTTGTTGTTTCTACTGTGGTGCAGAGCAGCTTGTATGTGACTATAGTAACAAACAGAAATGTTGATTTTTCTGTATCTAGATTTATCCAATGTTCTTAAAGAACCTTGAGACATTAATCGAAAAAAAAAACCCCACATCATTAAAAATATTTTCATGGAACTAAACAAAAAAGGTAATTTTACTAACTCAGTGGTCTAGTTCTGTTTAGTTGAACACTTATATACCAGGTCTCCTTTTTAATTTTTATAGTCGTCTACTGCCAGTGAGTGAAAAGAGTATTTAATTGTTCTGCCCATCAGTGTTTGTAGATGAATGAAAAATAATTTGCGGTAAATAAATAACAGTGTTCAGGCTATAGAGGCAAACTATGGCTCGGGGACCGATACAGCCCTTTAGTCTTTTTTAATCACTGGCACAAGGTATGGAATTTCATTTAATCTCATTTGATGCCACTAGATGGCGGCATACAATGTCAAATGTGCCAAATTTAGGTTTAATCTTGTACATTTTATTTATATTATTTCGCGCAGCTTTCTACATCCAACGTAATACTGAACCAGCCCACCACTCAAATTCTGAACCTCATTCTAGCCCCAAATTTGGCCACTCCTGGTTCAGACCATCACAGTGACCCAAATTTGCACAGTGGTAGGGAATCAAAGTTTTGTAGGTAGTTATATAAGAATAAAATCTTTGCTAAATCTTGGTGTTATTCGGCAACATAGTCTTTTATCTGACTGCTTCACAAGATTTCCGTTCCTAGGCATTCACTAATGTTTGAGCGTGTTGTTTTTCAGCAAATGAAAAAGATGACGTGGAAGAGGAAAACAGAAAAATGCATGTTGAACTACAGAAATGTAAACTGACTTGGTAAGAGCTTTGCACGTGTCTGCAATTCACTTCTACTTTCTTGCAAAACTTACCACAGGATCACAGATTCATGATTTCGGGGGATTGTGACTCTTGTCTTTGTATTGTCCTTCAGCTCAAGGTCACAGCAGGCCACGGCCACAGAACAAGAAGAAGACTTCATCCCAAACTCACCCGTCCTGCCTAGCTCACTGCCCGCGACAAACAAGCTCAAGAAACATAGAAACGTTGACAAAAACAGACGCCTTCGTTACATAGAGTTTCCTTTACCGCGTCCTAACAACACGCTCTTCAGAGGTCGGTCTGCTTTAGGGGATCCGCCATTTTACACATTTGATTGTCCTCTGTCTTCATCACCATGTCCTTGAACCTGCTGTTTTAGAGATAAGTGAGGAGCCTGTTGATGCTGCAAAGGATCCTGGGAGAGAGGAAGTACTTGTACCTAACACGTGTGTCCTGGATTTTACACAAACTTCAGGTATGACTTCACAAACTGGACTCGTCGTAAACTGTCAGGAAAAAAAAAAAAAACAGGTCAGCAGTCTCCACCCAAATCACACTGCACCGTACCAACCCCCCAAAGGTACCCTAACCGGGATTCGAACTTGTCCAGGAGGTGAACCCTGGGGTTGCACACCAATGACAGAGACATTGCCTCTGGGCCAAAGCGCCACTGATTGCAACTACGATTTTTGTTTTTGTTGTTTCAGATGGGAATCACGAAGGAGAAGAGGTGGTCGCTGAAACGTGCGGTCTTGAACCGTTTGTCCCTGTGGTAGGTCACTTCATACAGCAACATAACATTTATGGTCTCTTATCGTTCAAATATTCCCTGTTTGTTTTTTGCAGAACAACGGGACCTCAGAACTTCCAAGTCGCTCGAATAATCCTAAGATGAATAACATTCGTGCCATGTAAGTATCACAATAGCCTCAATATGTGTGAGTTAGAAGTTTACAGATTCCAACGAAGAAACTGTGAGAAGTCGATAACCGCAATTACAGCAGATCCTCGACCTAAGGTTGTTTTGTTTTATTCTTCGTCCACTGTGAATCACAGACCAGACCTACCCACGAAGACTTCACCGTCGCTGCTTTATCAAGACAAGCGGTTCTCCGAAAATGGCTCCATTCCCAGAGCCAAACGCAAGAAGGAGGACAGTGAGCAAGATGACAACGAACAAAGATTTCAGGAGGTAGATGCAGACCTTTTTTTTTTTAATTTTTAAAATGTGCCTAATATTTCTTGTTTTTTTTATATATATATAAAACATCGTTATCATCTAACAGGTCAAATCAGCGCAGAAACGAGCCAGTGTTTCTTTTTTGAGTCCCGCCTTTAAGAAGACAGACGTCAAAAACGAGGACGAGAGGACCATCACTGAGCGTAAAAGATCCCCTCTGCAGGACGTGAACATGTCACATGGCCAGCCGGATGCATTACAAAGTGAGACTCACCCTTTCTCCCCGTTGCTGTAGAATGAACACTAACCCTAATTACTATGATTGTAAGCCATTTAAACTTTTTTTTGCAGAAAGGAGGCTGAAAGTGGAACAAATGTGGAGCATTGACCCAGCACTGGCTCTGTCAATGTATGAGGGCGACTGTACGGATGAAGAGGTAAGGTCAGGACAAACAGCCGCTCTAACTGGGTCAGTCAAAAGTGAGAAGCTGTCACTTGGAAGTTACCCTTCAGATGACCCGGTTAAAGTGACCCGCCTACATTGAAAACGTTAAATATTTATGTACTCATATAAACTGAAAGATTACATTATATATATTCTGGTTCTATTTAAATGCCACAATATGATTCAATTCATACGTTATACGGCCAGTACTGCACTATAGAATACACAATATTTTAATTTCCTGGGGTGTACCACACTGGGTTACTACTGTTTACAATAGGTATAATGAATGCAAACCATAGGTCTGTGTTGTTCAACCTTGGGGTCACGACCCCACATGGTCTGGAATTCAAAATAGGGTCACCAGCCAAAAAGGATGGAGCCATGTTGACTTGGAGATAAAGATGACCTGTTGTTTTTAATTATTAATAATTGCTGGCTGAATATATCTTTATTGTTTCATGTTAATCGTTTGTCTGATACTTTTACTTTTTGTTTGTTGGTCCCGGACACCCTTAAAAAAATAGATGTGACCTTAAAGGGACTTCCTCAGTTAATGAATGGTTAAATCTTTTTTTTTTTTTTTTTTTTCTTTTTTTTTGTGAATTTAAGCAGCAACTCGAAGAGAACAATGAAAATGTTGAGGACACAGATACCACCTGGGTCAGTCACAGCATGCTCCAGGGTCGGGGACTAAAAGCCCTGGACAGACAGAACAGCCTTTGTGGTAAATAAATACTGTACAGATAATGAACTTTACTGTTATTTTAAAAAAGTTTTGTTACTTTTTTTATTTGAGATCTGAGATTAAAATTAAGTGCTGGTGCATTTAAAATTTTTTTTTTTTTTTTTCTCCTCAGGACTTGGTGGGAAGGCGAATGACAGTTTGGAATTGATGTTTGACACTACGGCTCATGAAGAGTATAAGTCCTACAGCTGCTCAGATTCATTCCAGAGCCAGTCAGGTGCTGCTGCTGTAAATGATAATGATGATGATGAGGAGGAAGAGGAGGAGGAGGAGGACAATGACAGTGGTACGTTTCATTCTTCTGTTATTTGCCATTTGAAGCTGACTCTTTACCTGAGCTTCTGTTTTGTTTCCTGAATTAGAACAAATCAGTCCTGGAAGCTTTGCGGGTCAAAGGAAAGCCCAGTAAGTCACCAATGAGCCTAACCCTCATTATTGTCTTCTTCAAGAGCCATAAAGTGTTGAGTTTGTTTTTATCCTAATTTGCTCCCTCGCTCTCTCTGGAGCAGAGAACCAACATTTGCTCACGTGGCAGTCGTTCGCAAGAAAGACGAGAGAAGAAAACTGAAGGGCACGACCTGCAAAGAATGTGAAATCGTGAGTGTTTAGCGATTGCTAAATAAATACATTTTCCAGCCGCCGCCCTGTAATGGAGTTGTTGTTCTTTCTTGTCCAGTATTACGCTCACCTCCCAGAGGAAGAGAAGCTGAGGAAGTTGTCTGAATGCTCAAGACATCGCTTCCGGTACATTCCTCCTTCTACTCCCGAAAACTTCTGGGAAGTCGGATTCCCATCAACACAGACGTGCATCGAAAGAGGTCATTTAGGAAGTCTGTCAAAAATAACACACGAGAGGTTGTCGAGAATATTTGACCAACTATTGCGTTGCGTTGTTGCAGGTTATATCAGGGAAGAGAAGAATCCGCAGTTACGTTCAAGGAGAAGACAACCATTCAACGCTCTGTTTTCCCCAAAGGAGGACAGACACTTGGAGGACGGTTGAATTTTATATATCGTGTTGGTGGAACTGTTCGTCTGAGGACTTTTTAAATTGCACTGCAAAAGGATTTATCATACTTGGTACACACTGGAGTTACATTTAGCGTAATCCAGCATTTTATTGAGACAGTAATAATAAACATATATATATATATATATACATTGAGACAGTAATAATAAACATATTTATACTATTGTTCATATGTTTTATTAATTGCTTTCACGTCAACTCTGGGTCAATCTCGCGTTTTCAGGTGAGATCAGAATGAAACACAAAACTTAGATAGATTTATAAAATAGATTTATTTCATCCCCGTACACTTGAGAGTACAAAAATATTCCTATAAAAAATAACTTCTGTTTTTAAATTTGGCAGATGACTGTCACAGCTGAGGTTCTCTGTCAGTATACAGCAGCAGTGCCTCCCCCACGTGACTGACGACCACACTGAAGACAAAGGGCGGGGGAAAAAAAAAAACAAGGTGAAAACATCTGAAATGTTAACTTGAAATAACACGACACAAAAGCAACTGTAAAACACTACACTCACAAAATGTGTAGATTTTCAGACACCCATTTTGAGCAACTCACCACATCACAGATGGAGCATTCATCTTTACTGAGAAAACAAATGGTGAAAAGCAAATGGCAGTAATCTGTGAAGGGAAAAAAAAAAATCCTTTAGCTAAGTTACTTCAGACTACAGTGAAAAATCATGGTAAAGAAAGTCAACATATTTGATGGACAAAACTGATATTCTCACCAAATGAAAAAAAAAGAAAAAAGTTTTCACTGTGGTACAAACATTTCAAATATTAAATCAATTTAAACTGCTGCGTCCCCTGGGCAATTAGTCTGCATCCACTAAAGAGGGCCGCGCCCTCCACATTGAGAACCCTAGCCTGACACAATGCAAGTACCACAAGTTGCTTAAAAAATGAATGAATCTGAAAAAAGGTTAAAAAAAAATATTTACCTTTGACAAAAAACTCCAGATCCTAAAGTGCTCCAGTGACAGTCCAGTTTTTAGTTTGGAGGTGGCCAACAGCAGAAGAAACCCCAGCAGTGCACTGTAGGAATTACAACAAAACAGGGACTAATGACTAAATGTATGAATGAATATAAATAGTATACATTAAAATCTTGCACAAAAAAAAATTAAAAATACTGAATGATGGTCATTTTTAGTATACGTATCTCCAAATGTCTCACTTAAAGTGAATTAAGTGCAGCACTCAGTGTATGTAAAACCAAAAATCAAATACCTGGCACAACAGCCACAGTGGAATGTGTGAGACTGGAGAGAGGGAAACTCCAAGACACCCAGAAGGTCGCCTGAAATGGAGCTAATGATTACTAAAATAATATTGTATTGAGAAATACATGGTAACTAGAAGTGATAATGTTGTAAAATAAAAAAAGAAAACTTGGGTCATTTGTACCTGTTGGATGAGAAGCAACAGCCAGCAGCAGGACACTGGAGCAAAAATAAAAAAAAGAAATTCAACAATAGGATTACCAGTGTCAATAAAACCCAAACAGGAAGAGACAGGAAGCTAAAAATGCTATCGACTAAACCAGGAGTGTCAAACTCATTTTGTCATATCATCATAAAATAATCATAACATAATTACCTATAAATAAGAATAAGTCAGTTTTCCCCCTTTTTTTTAATGCAAATAACTACAAATATATTCAAAATATATATATATATTTAATGAAATATTTGACAAAACATCGCTAATGTGCAGTGTTGGTGATTTTTTTTAACTTTCAACATTCATCAAGTGGGCCGTATTGGACTCCTGAGTGGGGCAGTTTTGGCCCGCGGGCCATATGGTTTTGGCACCCCTGCACTAAACCAATGTCAGCAGCACTGCAGCAGAAATGAACCTAAGGTAAAATCAGTGAAGTATGGCATAGAAACAGATGCTTTCATTTCCTCAAAGAAACTCCCAAGGGATTAATACAATTCTATCTATCAATTATTTGGCAGAATGTGACTTTTACGGACGCTTTTTTTGAAAGAGTTCTCTCTCACCTGAACAAATAGTCAATGCACTGTTGCTCCAGGTCACTGCAATTCAATCGTCGCCAAAATGTCAGACAACACATTGGCAGACTGGTCCGACTGCTTTACGGAGGACAACGTAGACTTTATGCCTGAGCCAAAACGCACACTCACCTTAGATTACTTGGCTTATAGTGGCTTTTGAACACCCTGTATGCACCTGAAACATAGGTCGCAACGAGAGCATGTGTAAAACGCACAGTATTCTCCGTACAAAACAATTTAAACGTGGAGGGAAACCAAAGCAGTACAGCTGCACGCACAGCACACAACTGCTCTGAAAACATACTGCAGCTTTGATTTCTGACGTGGCTTGATGTTAAATGAAGTCTGTTATTTACTTATGTATTCAGCAATTCCCAACGTAAGGGGCAGGTCCCCTTTGGGGGACATGGAGGACAGCTAGAGGGCACAGAAAGTCATAGTAATTAAAGGTAGGGATGGCTCGAGCCGATACTGGTCAAAATTTCAGGATCCGCCATGAAAAAAAAATTTTAAAAAATGAACCCGATACCTAAGCTCAAATGCTCAACTTAACTTTGCGCGGCATCCTGTAAACAGAGACACTCTGTTGCCTTAGCAACTGCAGCCCGCGGCATGCCGGACAACAAGGTATCGGATTGATATTGGTATTGGGCTGAAACTCCGAGTTGCAGAAAAAGTTTTATCGAGCTATCCCTAGTAAAAACTCTTTTTTTTTGCAGCATCCTAAATTGTTGCCTAACGTATTTCAATTGTAGTCTCATTCAATTAACTCTTTGAGAACAAATCACAGGGCTTACCGACACAGACCAGATGTACCACTGCCCACAGGTAACCATTTAGCTCAAACTGTAAGGAAGACAAAAGAGAGAATGTACAAAACACATGACCTTTATGTAGTCAAAAAAAAAAATAATGTAGCACTTAAATATATTATATAATTACCTGCAGGTCGCAATAGGGAAGGTTGACAGCTGAAATCAGCATGAGAAATAGACTGTGAAGAGAACAAATGTGTACATTTTTATAGATAAGAAGTACATGTTTCTGATTAAATCCAATGTTATATCCACTTTTAAAAAAAAGAAACAAACAAGGACAAACCTGAGAAGTTTCAGCCAATGGATCTTCTGTGTAGGAGATAAAGATCCAAGTCAGAACCACTACATTCCAAGCAGGTTAACAAGCAGGTGTGGGGCAGATAGTGTACCTACCTCTCGGTGGGCAACCTTCAGGATCGTGTGACTCACGACGTGAGAGGAATTCTGGAGTGTAAAGAAAAACGGAATTTCCTAAAAGAGGGAGAAAACACAAACGCTTGACTAACCCTAAAGCCGGCTGATGTATTTTAGACATTTGCAGATTAACGTATGGGTCTGATATCAAGACATACCAGGCGGGATAAAGCCCTGGAACCGGCGTAAATGTTTCCCACAAAGATGAGCGAGGCCGGAAGCCAGGGCAGAGCTGCTGTTCTGTAACATGACGTGAAAAAAAAAATGGATTAAAACAATTCTATGTGCCCAGCCTTTCAGTTGTCAAACAGGACTTAAGAAAAAAAAATGTACCGGTTGATGCGACTCATCTCCACCCAACCCAGCTTTCCGAAGAGGAGGAGAAGAAGGGCACCGATAAATGTCTGCCATCTACAAAATTAATTTGAAAAAAAAATACAATTTGGGTCACTCACTAAATTAATTTCTATTGGTTGTGACAGTATAATCTGATGCAGAAAATGTATATATATGTAATATATAATATATTTAAAATATTTTATTTATTTTCTATTTCTTTTTTAACCATATTTCCTGCCTACGTGCACTCTATGGAGACAATGCAAATGACTTACCCTTGAAATAAAGTCGGATATGTAAACTTTAACACCGAAAGGACAAACTGAAGTGGAAAAAAAAAGAAGAAAAGCAAAATCAATGATGACGTCACATCAGTTTTATTGCCTGGTTACGCCACAGCTCAGTCACCAAAGTCCTACCGACCACGAAACACTTATGTCTTCCTTTTTCACGTTTTTCTACGTATAACAATCACGGCGATATACAGTATATATATGTTTTATCGGTTCATAGATCGCTGCACTACAACTGTGCTAAACTTTGGTTTTCGTTTCCTGCCTGTTGATTGCCAATCTTTGATAAATCACTAACGAATTGTTGTTGTGATTTAATGTTGGTGGTTTACATGTAAATTAGGCTGTTACAGTGTTGACATCATTTGCCTGCGGTCTTGTTACGTTGCGTGCATGAACGACGGCGCCGACAGATGAAGGATGAACTCGGCGGATGTCGACACTCACCTTGTTGGTGAAATAAGTCAAAACGAAAAGAAAGATGAAGACGCAGCCACTCGTGTATTTTTTCCACTGCATTCTGACCTGTGCAGTGGGGACATGGTGTCTTAACGGTCCATTTTACAGCCTGCGGTACTCCACTTAGCACATCTGAGAAGCAAAACTTCCCTCACCACCCGCGGCCGCGGTGACACGTCGTTCACACGTCGCTATACAAAGATCGTCTATGCAGCTTCAGGCAGGAGCCAAACAGGTCACGAGGAAATCCCGGAAGTGCGTGTATAGAGTTTTTCTCATGTGATCTATGGGCCTACTCGATCAAATTTAATTTATTCAGTGGCTTCCTTAAAAGGTTGCCAGGTTTTACCGTAGCTTTTTTTTTACTTCTGACTATACATTTCTGCAAATAATAAATGCATTTGTTTTTGTGTGCATTTATTAAATTGGACTCTAGGTGAAAGGGTAGGACAAAAAACGGTTGTGACGTTGTCACTAGAAGGCTTCAACTTTCCCACCTGGCCCACATAATACCCACATAAAGGACCTTTATGGTGTGCTTAACCAACTAGACCATGTCATTGCTTCAGTAAAAACAGAAGCAAAAACAAAATTATATATATAAAAAACCCACCCCATTTATTGAATTAAAATGTTTTATTATAAACTGATTTGAGTAAACACACAACTTTTTTGTAAAACTGACCATGATAATTGTTAATCTATTATGAAACTGTGATTAAATGAAAAAAATAACATGTTTGTATTTTGAAAAATGCTGTAACATTATAGGGAAGTTACAAAAGTCTCTCCTGTATGAAAACCTAGCTCTGTGCCTTATTCATTTTCAATAAAACAAACTAAAAATAAAACGAGTATTTGTGTAACTGGTCCAAGTACTCTTACGTCTTAAAATATTTTTTCTGTCCTGTAGTATAGTAACAACCAAATGTGCCAACTTTGGAAGAGAGGTGAAATACGGAGTGTTATGTAGAAGTTATTCAGTAGAATTGTAATTGTAATTGAAAATGGACAATAATGACTGAAAACGCATCTGAGAAGCAGCTTGTCTTCGGAAACCGCCTCAGAGTGGTCCATCTGCGTGTACATTTTTGAGACAGTCAAGCCACTTCCTGCTGGTTTCCGTGTTTACGAAGCTCAGGCTGCTCACAGTCCCGACAGAACAGAGGAGACCGAGCGGTCATGGCTTCTTTAAAGACACCAGCCAGAACTAAAGAGAGGTAAATACTGCGTCACGCGTGTTTCCCTAATGTTGCTTTGTGCGAAATGGTTATTTTTAATGCATGTTAATGACGTCAGACTGAGCCACTGAGCTTATAAGAGGTCGGTTATCGGCTATATGTGATGGGGCTGATTCAGAATCAGCACAAACAGAACAGTGAGCACAAAACAAGTGATGAGTTCTGATCCCCGGTCTGAGCTATTGTCCTCTGTGAAATTGGTAAATGGGACATAGATAATGTCTGACTAATTCAGTGAAAACAGTATCAAACACGACTTTGTGTTGCAGAAAGATAGTTTTCTTTTTATCTTGAGCATTTAAATTAATGACCATAAGGCTCCGAAAAATGTACATAAACAGCTGTCTGGGTTAGCATGTTTTTTTTTTCTTCTTCTTCCCAACCCTCGGTACCGCAGAGGGACACAGTGAAAGAATGTACTTCATTTTTATTAATTTACTTCATTCAAAAAGAAGTCGTCGAAGAAGCAGTCATATCCCCTTACTTTCTGCATTAAAAAGATAATATGGCAATGTTTCAAAACAATAAATAATTCAAGAATACAGTCTAAAATGTTTAGCGTTATTCACACGCTGGTATTTTACTTCTCAAAAATTAACCACCTAAGATTAGCATATTGTAAACATTGCTGTCATATCAGTAAGTTACATGTTTATTTGAATCATTAGACTGATGTAAGGGTGTACACTGTATGCCTTATCTAACTTTACTGTTTAACTGTGTCAATACTGGCTCCACTGCACAATCTTTCTAATCCGTAGATTCTTTTTTTTGTTTGTTTTTTTTTTTGTTTTTTTGCATTCGTTCCTTTTGCTTTGGAATGATTGTTTCGAGGCTATTCTCAGTCTTGCAAATCTTCTTATGTAAACAGTGTATCCATATTTTGACAAGCAAAAAAACAACAAAACTTTACCCATGATTAATGGCTTTACTGTTTACATATGATATTACTGGTGGGAAAGTTCCGACTGCTCCCAGGTGTACTGTATGTGTGATTCTGAAAACAACAATAGAAGCCGTTGTTATTCATCGTAACGACAAAGGCGGAAATCAAAATCAGGAACGGTTTGCTGGATTCTTTGATAAAGAATTTTTGGTATTTATTGCAGGAAGTTATTAAAAGTCATGCATAAAGGCAAAAACTCTACAATGTTTTTATTGTTTTCTATGCCATTTATCCGGGAAACATGGGTATTGCAGGGATAAGGCGGACGTATAATGAAAATATAAATCAATAATATAATTTGGAAAAGTTTGGCGGGCCGGATTAAAAGGCTGAATGGGCCGCATCTGGCCCCCCAGCCTTAGTTTGCTTATGCCTGCGCTAGACAAATGCCAGAGATTCTAGGGCCAAGGCATGGCATGGTGTAAAGAGATGTGTTATTTACACCACAGTTTTCTGTAACCAGTCTCAAATGTGTGATGATGTGACATTTACATAGCTGTTTCCTATTCCTTTTGGGGTTTTTTTTCCTAAAAATGTAATCTTTATTTACAAGAAACTCTGAATCTAATGAAAGAGAGCTTAAGCGTTTAAGAAACATTTGAATGACCTCATGGATTGAATGAGAAGTAGCCTGTCTTTGAGGTCTGGCACTTTGTTGGCTTCACTTTGTAACTTGATCCATTTGCTATATCATCTATAGCAGACTGGTAATACCGCGCCATCGTTGAAGGCTCATTCAATTTTCAAAATAAAACATCTTTTAGACTTTTTTCTGTTAGTATTGGAGTCTGAATAACCTATTTTTAAACATTAGCAGATTATCTTTTAATAAAAAAAAAGTAAAAGCATATGACTGGACTGTCTTTTAGAATGACGTAAATTAGTAAAACTGAAGTACATTTTTTACTGTGTCCCACTGCGGCCCGGTACCAAATGACCTACGGACAGGCACCGGCCCCCAAACCGGGGGCTGGGGCCCCCTGACCTACAGGAAATTGAAGTTTGAAGCCCTGGCGTCATGTTTTAAGTGTATGTAATAAGTTGGAAAACCAGAGGCTGACAAGAGCGCCATCACATGGCCATGCTACCATACAACTAATAGTTAAGAATAGTAAATGATCTTAATTTTAACAAATATAATTTAAAAAATAGCAAAGGCTACGAAGTTAGAGATAGAATCTACTGACAAGAACCTATATGGCAACAATAACAATTCTGATTAAAAAAATAAACCCATGTTGACTCAGGGCTTGATGAATCATCTTTGGAATAGTTCTAGTGAATTCAGGCATTCCGGAGAAATTTATCGGTTTCAAGTAACTGCTGGAAACTAAATATATCCAACTATTTTAGGAAACTCTTAATTTTAGCGTTTTGCAGTGTGTTAAAAAAAAGAAGCATTGCACCATTCAGACAATGTGTCTGTTGTTTTTTTTTTTTTCTACCCAGGTTTTCTCTTCTCCTGCTGGATTTGGAGGAATATTATTTTGAACACTTCACTGCCTACCATCTGTCAGGCAGTTCAAAAAAGGACAGGTAATGTGTCTACCATCATCAAGCCTAGTAACAACACTCACTGAATGCCTCAGAGAATTTAAAATGTCAATATTTTTTTAAATGTGTTTTATTCTTTGTTGACATACTGGGAGAGAATTTTTAAGCTGGCTCTTAGCGTTACGTCATGACATCTTGTTTGAAGGAACGGCTGACTGAAAAAGAATTACAAAAAAATGTGTACAATTTATTTTTAAAAAATTGTAGAACTTGCATAGACACGATTTATGACTATGTTTATTAGCTGTCTATTAAAAAAAAAAGATAAAAATTTAAACATATTTCTGTTCAGTTAAACCAGTTGTAGGCCCTCACTAATGCACCACTGCCAATGTATTTCATATAATATTTCTTGTTTTAAGCCAAGTGCGGCTTATGGCAGTTATCAGCATGTACGAACAGCTGTGTAAACATCATCTCTATCCTGTTATAAAGACTTGAGCAGACACTAATGTAGGCTCGTCACACAGTTGCAATGTCAGTACGAATGCGATCTTATCCATTCACTGTCACTTTTAATGTCGATGTCCCATTTGCACTCATCATTGCTGACTGTTGTTTCGCCATTCGCCTTCCAGAAAAAAGCGAGGCTCGTTTAAAGTGTGTTCCCGATCGATCATATTTGAAGCGGAGGATTTGTCAGAGCCAATCCTAAAGGTTGGTTTTAGGTCGTGGTATATCGTCGTATTGCGATCACATTTAAAGTGAACTGAACTGTATTCTGTCCGTCTTGTGTTTGCACAGATTCCTCTTCGAGATTGTAAGGAAATCGATTTTGTCGAGAAAGAGAACAACCCGTTCAACGAGTGAGCGATGATGATGAGTCAAATGTAGTAGTATAGAGGCGCAACCTTTTTTTGCCCCACCGACTCAATGTCTGACAATTTTTTTTTTCTCCTTCTCTCTCTCTCTCTCCCTCTCTCTAACAATAATATAAATATTATTATTTTATATTATCAATATATTCCATTCCGTTCTTCGATTCTTTAACATTTCCTAATTATTTTACAGGCCATGCCCTCCTATCATTTCTATATCATGCACTCAGGTAGGAGATCAACATTTTCTGTTGCAATAGCTAAAAATATTCTGGGTTTAAACTTGTTCATATATATATATATATATATATATGTGTGTATATAAAATATATATATATGTATGTGATATAATATTTTTTCTTCTCTGAACTCAGGTCATATACATTAAAGAAGGCAACATAATAGCACCATACAGAAATGAGAGGGTGAGTTGAGACACTATCGCTGTCAACGTGTGCTATCTGACAAAAATTAAAATCTCCAGCAGCGGGATTTTTAAAACGTAAAATCCTCTCCATGTTTTACCAGGGTGCAAAGAAAATGACTTTTGAGTTGGAGGTGTGGAGTAAAACGGAAGACGTCGTTCAAACCTTACTACAGGTATACGGCCACGGTTTACACTTATTAGTCTGACTTCCTTTTTGAAGAGAATATACGGCTGCTTTAATGCACTCTGCAGGAATGGCTTACTGTAACTCTCCTTTTTTTTTTTCTTTTTTTTTTTTTTTACAGCTCCACAGAGCATCCTGTCTGGAAAAGCTCGGCGACCAGACTGCAATGGCAAGTCACTAACGTTTCTCTACGTCTATTTAGGCCCGTGCAATGCGGTATATAAAAATCACTAGTTAATAGTGGCTGAGTTATCTGCGGTTCTTTCTAGATTGAAGCGAATCTACAGTCGCGACTTGCCAGGTCGTCGTTCGATAAGAACTGGTATGTCGCTCTCAGATAAGATTTTGATTTCATCCGTTTCTATTAATTTCACGGGTGTCTCTGACAGTCTGATGTCCCTGTGCTGTGAAGCTTGCAGAACGTGGCCGAAAAGCCTCACATGGAATGCGAGGTGGAGATGGTCACGCCCCTCGTGTCCAACCCCGGACACATCTGCGTAACTGATGAGAATCTCTACTTCCAGCCACTCAATGGATATCCAGTAATGTGACATATATGCCCTTGAAATTCTTGAGTCTAAATGAGTCCAGGATTGGACTAAAAGGCTTTTAATCGTCTCCTCAGAAACACGTGATTCAAATCAAGCTCCACAGAATCAGGAGGATCTACAAAAGACGACACTGCCTCAGGCCGCTGGTGAGTGACGGGGGCGGGGGGGGCAGGTGGAGTCACAGTGTACTATGAATGTAAAGGAGTACCACCTGGATGTATGTTTGTATGAAAAACATGTCTGATCCCATCGGTGTTCACTCTGGTCCCTAGGGTCTGGAGGTTTTCTGCTCTGAGAATGACTTGTGCTCCGACATCTACCTGAGGTTTTACAACACGGCCGACCGAGATGAGATTTACTACTACATTGCAACATTCCTTGGTGAGAAAAATGTGCTCTGAAGAGCTTTTATTGAAACACAATTGCCTCTAGTCACTAGATGGCAGCATTGCAGCTCAGTGGTTTTATACAGATAAATAAGCAAATCATACCAAGCGCTCAATGGTGTTTCATTTTGGGGTTGGCGGACAGGGCGTGAAAAAAACGTTTGTCCACTAGGGGGTGCCATGGCAAAAATATAATTGAGGAATACTACTTAACCCATCGCCTGAGTGAGCAGGCTAAATTAGTATCGGTTAATATCGGAATAGGAAATTGAGTGTGTGGACAATATCGGCATGTCGGATATCGGCAAAAGGTTCATATCGGACGCTAGCAAATAGTATATATTTTTTCTGTTACTATACGTGACTAGATCAAAATGCACTATTTTTTGTTTTTGGTTTAGTATAATTAAAATAAACTTGACAAAACCTTATTTTTCTGATTAAGAGAACCACATGACGGAGCACACAGCGGAGAGCTACATGCTCCAATGGCAGCGAGGTCATCTGAGCAACTACGAGTATCTCCTCCACCTCAACAACCTGGCTGACCGCAGCTGCAACGATCTTTCCCAGTATCCCATATTCCCCTGGGTTATTGCCGATTACACCAACAAATACTTAGGTGGGTCAACAGCTACTGGGGTAAGTGCTGTGTGTGTATTTCTGTGCGTACAGTACGTAATCCGCCCGGCTCTCCGCTTCGCAGACATGACAGATCCCGCCACGTTCAGAGACCTGAGCAAACCAGTGGGCGCTTTGAACAAAGAGCGTCTAGACAGACTGCTGGTGAGTCTCTCTCTTCAACTGTGATGTCATCCTGTTTCTGCTCTGTCAGCACAGCTGATCTCGAGTTCCGCACTCCGAACACTTCCGAACACAAACCCTGTCTTGTCTACAGGCTCGCTACCGAGGCATGCCGGAACCTCGTTTCATGTACGGCAGTCACTACTCATCTCCAGGCTACGTCCTCTTCTACCTGGTCAGAGTTGGTACGTGGTACCGATATGTCGTGCGAGATAACGTCGAGATCAAACGGAGCACATTCTTACGTTCTGTAATATATTTTTTTTTATTTTCAAGAGCTGACAAACACTTTCCCAAGTGTTAAGTCAGAGTTGTAATTACAAGCGGCACTCATGCAAGAGTCAAGATGAACTCTAGAAAATGATCAAATTCCACAACAGGTCTCAAAACCCATTATCTACTTACTGCTAATAAATTGTCTTATTTTATTTGCATTAATTTACAATTAAATGCATTTCCAGTAGGGGGCAGCAGCAGATGGCTACAAAAAAAAAATGAGACTCCAGAAATGTCACAGGAGATCTTAATGTGTTGCTTTCTTCAATTCCTGCGGGTTTATAACCGTTGTGTTCAATTAAACAAGTATCATACAATAATAAAAAAAAAATACTTTTACACCATTTTAGAATGAATACATTATGACCGAAGATAAGTGCTTTTTGACTTGACTGCGTCTTCTCCCTGCAGCTCCGGAACACATGCTGTGTATTCAGAACGGACGCTTTGACCACGCAGATCGCATGTTTAACAGGTGCATGTTTACCGGTGATGTCAGTAGTATTAGTAATGTGGTATAAAAATGGGAGGAAGTGTGTGTGTGTATGTGTGTTTAGCTGACCCGTTTTCTATCTTTACAGTGTTGCTGAAACTTGGAAGAACTGTTTGGAGGGAGCTACCGACTTTAAAGAGGTAACACTACAGTATATTATTTCCCTCTGAGGTGTTTTTACAGCTGTCGGATGGTTTTGAAGACAGTGTTAGTGCAGGCGTGTGAATTGTATGTATTTATATTTAATGTAATATAATTTTACTAAAACATATCCTGAACATGAAGTATTTGTGTTCTTCATCAACCGTCCCAGATTGAACACTCTAATGGGCCGATTTTGGTCCACGGGCCATATGTTGATGCCCCTGTGTTAGATACAACTGACTAATATAACCCTGTTTTTGAAATGAAATCACAGAGCAGCAATTAACTAATACAAAAAAAAAATTCTTTCACGTAGCTGATCCCTGAGTTTTACGGCAACGACAGCAGCTTTCTGGAAAACAAGCTGAATCTGGATTTGGGCCGAAGGCAGAACGGAAGCCTGGTTGGTGATGTCGTTCTTCCACCGTGGGCTTCAGGTTTTTTTTTTTTTTTTTTTCTTGTTTCGACTGATCCAACTGTTCGACAGCTCATCTCAGTGTTGTTTGTTTACCTCACGCCGTGTCTCGTGTTTGTCCAGAACCCAGCGATTTCCTTCAGAAGAACAGGACGGCGCTAGAGAGTCAGCACGTGTCGGAGAACCTTCACGAGTGGATCGACTTGGTGTTCGGATTCAAACAGAAAGGCAGCGAGGCCGTGGCGGCCCACAACGGTAGAACATATAGACTAGTGGGCATCACGTCACGACTCGCCGCGCGATCTTTCCAAACTCAAAACAAACTCTTTCCTGTCTGGTTGTTCCGCAGTGTTTCACCCACTGACCTACGAAGGTGGCATGGACTGTGACAGGTATTTACAGTGAAGTCCCTCATGATTTCCTTTCCTGCTTAATTTTTTAACTCAATTTGACTTCCCGAATCAACCTCTCACTCCAAAGCATCAAGGATCCCGATGAGCGAATCGCCATGTTGACGCAGATCCTGGAGTTTGGCCAGACGCCCAAACAGCTGTTCAGCAGCCCTCACCCTCAGAGGATCACGCCGCGCTTTCAAATCAGCCGCAGCCTCAGCACCAACTCGAGCATCGGCGAACTGTCTCCAGGTAAATTTCGTGTCGGTAAAACACAATAAAATATATCTCTATGTGCAGTATTTTCTGTCAGATATTATCGTACTATTTATGTATTTTACATAAAATGAACCCACGTTTTTTCGGATTTTACTAGCAGTTGAGAGAGGTTGAGATTTACACTAAATATTTTATTTAACTGCTACTGTATAACAAATGCTGACGTTAAGTGTTCTTTCATTCATATTGCAGTACAAAAGAAAAAAAAATGACCTCATAATTGACTGAAATCTCAGCCTGTTTAGTTGGAAAACAAAAACGCTGATATACTGGCAGGAATTGAAGAAAGACACTCACAAAGATCTTCTTCAACGGCTCTGATTATCTTTTTTTTTTAAACTTTTCATAGCCATCTGCTGCCACCTAGCAGAAGAGTATTTAATTGTTCTGCCTTTGATGCTTTGACGAGCAATGAAAAATGATATGAAAATAAATGAATAATAGTTTTCGGTCCATTCAAGTGAATTTGGATCATTTTCCGCAGCATTTTTTTCAGCCATTTATACATATATATTTATATATGTATATATGTATATACGTGTATATGTGTATATATGTGTATATATATGTGTATATATGTATATATATGTGTATGTGTATATATATTTATATACTGTATATGTATGTATATATGTAAAGGGATGCAAAAAACACATTGATTGATTTTTATTTTTCTAAATTAATTAGAAAAAAAAACACATTTTAAAACATAGGGAGAATGACGTACAGTGTATATCCAGTATTTTCCCCTGTCCCTCCACTCATTGGTGTGAGCATGCATTGAACCATATGTGTACAATGACAATTAAGGTGATTCTTCTGAATGCTGAAGCGGTGACCAACATTCCATTTTTTTTTTTTTTCAGCCTCGCCGTGCGAGGACTCGTCATTCGAGGACCTGACGGGGGGGGGGANGGGACCAACCTTCCTTTTTTTTTTTTTTTCAGCCTCGCCGTGCGAGGACTCGTCATTCGAGGACCTGACGGAGGAGAGCAGGAAGTTGGCCTGGGCAAACATGGGCGATCTGACACGGTTGGGCAGCCACAAGATCCATAAAGAGTAAGTGAGCCGCTTTGTCTGCGCAGGAGTTTATGGCGTCGTCACAAACCAAAGTCATGTTGAAAGTGCTCGAGGAAGTGCGCACGAATGAAAAGACACACCTGCAGCAACCTCGAACTTTTTAAAAAACTGATTTAGAGCAGATTAGATTACATCAGATTAGATTAGATTAGATTAGATTAGATCAGATCAGATACGATTAGATTACCTTTGTGCTTCCGCGGTGTAGCGGTTGTCACGCCCGCCTTACACGTCATCCTTTCAAGACATGTAAAATAAAAAAGTTCTTACATACATAAAATGTAACATCAACATAATAATAATACATATATTAAAATACAAGAAAATGACTGGACCTGCTATAGAATTTTAACTTTAAATTAAATAAACCAATATTACATTTAAATTGTCTAAGAATGTGTTTTTTTTTCCCCCAAAAGTATTTAGTGTAAATGTTTTTCATGGTACAGGTATATATTTAAGTTAAATACATACCATATTAAACCTTGGTAAGTTTCATGCTGATGTTCATTAAACATTTACCAAAAAAATTTTTTTGCCACTTCATTCACAAATCGACTTGGAAGTTTGAATCTAAGGCGTCTTTCTTTCCTCGAACGTACAGAGCCGTGACAGGAATCACCGTCAGCCGGGACGGAGCAGCAGTTTTCTCCACCTCACAAGGTCTGGGCTACATTTTGAAATCCTTCATATAGAAAATAGTATGCTAGCATTATTCCGGTAGAGTAGTTCTCGTCAGCTGCTGTGGCTACTTTTTTATTCATCTCTTCTTCCAGACTCCACGCTCAAAATGTTCTCCAAAGAACTGAAGGAGTTCCAGAGGAGCATGTCCTTCTCCAACATGGTACGCAAGCTCCGTTTCCTGTCCTCCTGTTTTTTTTTTTCCCCCTCGTCCCGATCTCCTCTGAATCCTCTCCCGTCTTCACCGTTTCCCAGGCTTTGTCGTCCTGTTTGATGCTGTCCGATGGTAAAACGGTGGCCTGTTCCTCGTGGGACAACAATGTGTACGTACATCAGAGTGTGTGTCCACATTTACAGCAGTGGTTCTCAAACTATGGTACGCGTACCGCCAGTGGTACGTGAGCGCCCTCTAGTGGTACGCGTGGAAAATTCATATTTTCACATTTTAAAATTTTTAAGTGAATAAATCTGAAACGTACCATGCGCAATTAATACAACATTTAAACATAAACAACTTTATAAACATCTCTCCTGTGTGGTGGAAGCTAATAGGGAAGGCCTGTGGTTTGAGAACCACTGGTCTACAGGTTTTAGAATGTATTAGCTCACTCCGGCTTTTTTTTTTTTTTTTGCTGTCTCCTCTTACCCCCATAGGTATTTTTACTCCGTCCCGTACGGCAGACGACAGGACACGCTCATGGGTCACGACGACGCGGTGACCGAGCTGTGTTGGTTTGAAGACCGGCTGTACACAGCATCGTGGGATTCTACTGTTAAGGTGAGAAACGACAGAGCAATGGAATGTTGCTTAGAAAAAAGAAATGCCAAAAAAATATATCGAATACAGGAGGTCCTCGATTCAGGACGTCGTGGTTACGTCGCCATCTCCCGTAAATGTATCTGTTGTCACACTGCGCTATACGCAGAGGACAACTTTGTTTACATTCAACGGTTGTAAGCCATACATTGGATTGTGCTACATTTACTGTCTTTACATTTGTGTTGGTTTTTTGGGGAACTTTTTGCTGACATTGTCCAAACACGTAATTTCCGATTCTGATATCGACCGATACGGATATTTTCAGCTGTTTGGTAAGGATGTCCGATTTTAACCTTTTGCCTTTTGATATCCGATATGCCGACATTGTCCAAACACGTAATTTGCGATACGGATATTTTCAGCTGTTTGGGTTTCACTTTAAATTTCTCCAGTAAAGCATGGATTTATAATGTGCTTTATGTCCGTATAAAGTTAGCTTATTTTCTTGTTGTTTTTTTTCTTTTTTTGTAGGTTTGGCAGCGTGTGTCAGATGGCTCCTCCACTAACAAGAGATCCCAGTGCGAACTGCTGGCTGAGTTGGAGCACGACACTGGGGTAAATAACGATGAGAACGATTTTCTTTCATCGAAACAGTTCAAATCTGTGTATTTCACGTTATTATCAGTTAAATGTATTGCAATGTATTGTATATGCAACTCAACCTAGGATTGCGACTAAATAGAATTAAACTTTAAAACATCCAAACGCTATAGACTAGGGGTGTCAAACTTAAGGCCCGCGGGCCAAAACCGGTCCGCTAGGGGGTTCAATTCGGTCAGCTAGAGGAATTTAAATTAAAAAAAAAAGCACAAATACTTGATATTCATGATGTTTTGTAAAATTATATTTCATTAAATATGAATATTTTCTCATATACTTCTACTTCTTTTGCATGGGAACTAAGGGGAAACCCATGGATTTATTGTTATTAATAAGTATTTATGTTATTATTGATTGAAACTATTCAAGAAATACTGTTATTTGTCATAATATTCTCATTATCTTACCCAATGGGGCTGTGTTGTTCATCATGTGCATATGACATGAGTTCAATGTCTGAGTCACTTCACTGGTTTTGACTGTCCGAGTGCCTGAGGGTGCCTCATGTTTGCGACGCTAAAACTCACCGCCCCATCTTTTCTCCTTCAGGTAAACACTATAGCTTTAAATCCTGCTGGGACTCTGTTGGTTTGTGGCTGTAAAGATGGAACTGTTACCATCTGGGACACCAGCAGCTATGACACACTTCATCAAGTCCACTGTCACACAGGAACCATCCACTGCACAGCTTTCAGTCCTGGTACGAACTCCTTAGCTCCTCAGTGTCCGTCCTGACGAATGACGTCTGAATAGTTTGCTCTGAAATTTCACAAATACTAGAATTTCCAAATGTATTTTTTTTGTAGCCTCAAAGCTACATGAAAATGAGATACCGGTAATTTTTCAAAACAAAACATAGTTCAGAATCAGAATAAATAAATCGGAAATAATGTAAGTTATGCCTTCTGTCTCTGCGATCTGGTACCAATTCACCCATGGACCAGTGCCGGTCCGCGACCCAGGGGTTGGGGACCACTGCTCTTAAAAAAGCATTTAAACAACAGATCAGACAATACTGGCCAAGAATGAATACAGACGGCTTCGAGCTAGCTCGAAACCATGACTTACTTACAAGGATTCGATCTGTTTTTGCGTCCTCAGACAGCCGGCATGTTCTGACAACCGGTGCCGACCTCTGCATGAAGGTCATAGATGTCCAGACGGGAATGGTGATCTCATCGGTGAAAGCGGAGGAGGAACAGAGGTAAAGTCACAGCAGCACTAAGGATTGTCTCATCTCATGCTAGCTGTAGCGGTAAGAATAAAGCTAACATTTGGCTACAGAGTTCAAGATGATGCTGTGTCTCCGGTTTCAGGTGTTTCTGCTGGGACGGAAACTCAGTCCTGTGTGGCGGACGGTCAGGTGACCTGCTGCTGTGGGACCTGCTCAGCAACACAGTCACCAAGAGAATAACCGCACACACAGGTAGACCATTAGGATCGTAGTAAGTGTCGGCTTTCTTAGAGAAATTTTGCCAAGCAGTTCGGACCTCCAGCAGGGACCGCCCACCACATCTATTTAAATAAGTTCATAGTAAGGTATACAGTATGTAAAAGAACAAAATTGTCATAAGTCACAGACAGAAAAACAATAAATATGATATGTACTATAACAGATTTGCTCTGCTATTGGTGCAAAAAAAGGTTAAATGTTTTTGCAACATTGTATGCGTAAAAGTCAGCAAAATTGACTTTTCTTCAATTCCTGCAGGTGTGTCAACATTGTGTTCAACTGAACGGGCTCAGGTTTCATACTAAGTAAATAAATTGAAATTCATCCATTTTTCATTGAATATACTTCTATGGACTTTTTTTGCTTTGTGGTGTGCCATGGCGATATACTAATACTGGTTTATTCTAATGTAGTATTTGATACAATTTTAATATTTTCAAGTATCCATAATCTTCAGACTTTTTTAACGATGTAAATGAACAGGGGTAATAGTTCAGTGTTATTCCTTTCAGGGGATTTAGCCAAACGATATTTGTACTGTCCCTCCAGTGGGCGCCATTGGAACGTGTACACTCTCATCACGTCAACTTGTTCTTCCTGTGTCCAGGCGCAGTCACAGCAATGTGGATGAACGACTTGTGCAGCACGGTGATCACAGGAGGCGAGGACAGACAGATGATCTTCTGGAAGCTGCAGAGTTGAAGAGCACTTCCTGCGCAAATCTACTGCGGAGCCCAAGTTCGACAGCCTGGTTGTTGTCCTGCAAAATCTGACTGTTAACAGATTGGTGGGACGGTGTTGTGAAGATTATACTGTTAGTGTACAATATCGCAGTATTGCTAACTCTCCTTCACCTGCTCCCCTTACGACAAACCTCGTCACATTTATCTGCGGCTTGAGAGAAAAAAAGTTTGACTGCATATTTGCTTCTTTTCATTTTTTATGTTGTGATTTTTTTTTTTTTTTTTGAAAAATGTTATGTTTTATTCTTTGTGTGCTCACCCTGTCAGAGCTACATGCCACTCACGTGTTTATTCAGTTTACATCTTACATCAAAAAAATACTTCTCTCTGTTCTCTTTTCTCTCTGTGTTATTTTCCAGAGCCTTATGAGATTAAGACTATAATTATGAGCTTGAAAAGAGATATGTCCTAAATTATTACCTGCAGACTGGAAACTGCTGAGACACCAAAGTATGAAAAAGCAGTGTTAGCTATTTTACCAAGCAAATTGTAGGCCATGACAAATAAGCAATGTTTCTGTAAATGGAGATTTTTAAACAATACATTGCAAGGATGTAAAAATGTTACTAATGGACATTAAAATGTCTATACTCATTGTGTGATGTTGCTTGGCAAAACAGTGTGGACTTAATTTCAATATATATATGTATGTATATATATATATATTTATATATATATATACACACACACAATTAGAATTATAATATTAATATGTATATATACAATTCATAAAATGTATATTTATAAACACAATGGCCGAATGGTTTTAATTGAAAATTTGATTAAAAACATTCGTATATCGATTTTATGTAGAAAAGGAGTTGCACCATTTAGCGTATTTGAAAAAGAAAGTATTTAAATGGTGTCAATAAAAGGGTTTTTCGTTAATTTTTTTACTACTTGAAATATATATAATTTTTACACTACCAATGCAATTAAAGCGTAATTATTTGACTTCGTCTGCAATGACAAAAAATGAATTCAAATAGAAAACCTTTTTATTTTGGGATTCTATGAGATATGACGCCTAATGCGGACGCTTTCTTACACTTCCGGTGACCGGATGTGTCGCAGTTAAATCGCGACAGTTCCTTTTTCGAAGAGAAACTAAATTAAAGTAGACTTGACCGAGTAACAATGGTAGGACGTTTTTTTGGTTATATTTCTCTTTTCATTTGTAATTTTGTTGTTGACAGTCGCAGTTTCAATTTGTGTATAGGTAATTAATGTTGGAGTTTATGTGCCGCGTTTAGATACAGCCGTCAATGCTGGATGTGATTAGTCACTGATGCTAATGCTAACTGCTAGTAATGCTTTGAGTGTTCGAATTGTGTTGAACTAACTCCAACTGTCCGGCGTTGACGCACGTAAATGTTTAACTGTCTGTTGTTTGTTTGTGTAACCGACAGAACTCCAGAGGCCTCCGCTCTCAGCTGAAGGACAGTGTACCTGTGGCAGGTTTTTGTCCTCAGTCACAGTTTGGAGTCCAGGATTCTCTAAGGGGCGGGTGAGGCGTAATGATGAATAAAATACCCGATATTACAGTGTTCAGCATAGCTTACATCGTTAGCAGATGATAAAGTTGCCAATTGTTGGATTCAATACAGCTACATGTACCCAATATATTTAGAGTTTTTTTCTATTTGAAAGGAGTTCTGTCATAATTACAAAAAAAATGTTTTATACTAATGTTTTGGAAGCACCTTATGTTCTTTTTTTTTTTTTTTTTTCAAACAGCTTTAGCAGTGTGAAAAATGAGCTCCTTCCGAGCCACCCACTGGAACTGTCGGAGAAAAATGTGAGTGGTCCTGAAACCTGTCACAAATCCGGAATATTCTATATCTTTCTCTTCTTCTTCCAGAGAAGATATCGATTCATGTCTGTAGTAGGTCCAATAGAATTCCTGTGTGGTCTAACAGTGGTTACTGTTGTGTTCAGTTCCGGCTCAACCAGGACAAGATGAATTTCTCCACACTCAGGAATATCCAGGGTCTTCATGCCCCACTTAAACTGCAGATGGAGTACCAGGCAGCCCGACAGGTAACTGCATAGGACATACCCCTACCTCTGTCACGGCTCCATGTCTCATACATACAAGCTTGGGATGTCCGACATTACATTTTTTGCAGATATTGTCCAAACACTTAATTTCCAATTCTGATATCAACCAATACCGATAGGGCACTGGTGGCCTTGTGGTTATTTAAGTGAAATGCCAACCAATGTATGAGTTGCTGGCACCAGCTTCTACATGAAATCCCCTGGCTGCAATGCTGCCATCTAGTGACTTTCACTTTCATATACAGCCGTTTTTCTCCAAATCTAATTTCAGGTCACATTATTATAAGAGCAAAAACTGATACAGATTCTTACAGATTCTTACGGATCGCTTATATTATCGGACATTCCTAATACAAGCTAATCGAAACTCGTGTTCTTCCTTCCTTCTCCAGATCCAGCGTTTGCCTTTCTTACAAAGTTCAAACCTGGCCCTTGACACGCTGCGAGGCAGCGACGATACCATTGGCTTTGAAGACATCCTCAACGGTCAGCACCTCTCCTTGTTTTCATGTATTCTTTTTATCCAAAGTGACAGTTTAATAATGTAATGTGACGCTCTTTTTTTTTTTCTCTCTCTCACTGCCTTTCAGATCCAGCACAAAGTGAAATGATGGGAGAGCCTCATATGATGGTAGAATACAAGATGGGAATGTTGTGATTAAATAGTGCTTCAGATTCTCAACATTATTTGTGAATTTTTTTTTTTTATTATTTCTTCCTGAAATTTAGTCAGTAAGTCAGATTCTGTGGAGTTTTCATCCTGTGTCAGCTCGTAAAGTACCAGACGTAGATGTGGGTGGTTCATATTTACTAGAATCAAAATTTGGGCTGTATTTCTAATAAACATTTCAACCTATATAATCAGGTGTCTGTTTATATATGTCATATTTCATACATGGATTATTGTTTAGATAAAAAGTGCATGAAATATAACCTTAATCAATTGCAGTTTGTGTGTAGGGGTCAAGGACTTAATGAAAATTGATCACATGGATTCTTTTCTGGGGGGGAAATTTTAAGTGACTCGCGATAGCTAAAGAGAAGATTAATTCCATACAAAAAAGAAATAGCCATTTAAAAATCCCAATTGCCTATAATCTACAACTCCCATAATGCATTTCAATTTTGTAACCCGTGAAGGGGAGTTTCGTCGCCACTAGATGGCAGTGTTATCATCTTTTAACACCAGCGGCAAGTCTAGGAATCGGCATATAAATCTCAAACGTTCGAAGAGGAGACTGTTGCATAGTGTACCCTGAGGCAGTTGGCCGATTCCTAACGCATATCCGAACAGTCTTAACACAGCGGGCAAAAAAAGCCAATCAACTCCTGAGAAAGGGCGGCACGAGTAACGATGTGAATATCATCGTACTTTTAGATATCTGAGATTTAATGTCATATAGTACTTTCAGACAAGTTTATTTTTGTTATTAATATATCTACAGGTAAGGCTAAACATATTTGCAAACGTTATACAATGACACCAAGCCTATATTAATGTAGATGTGTCTAAATGTTTATTAAACATATCTTATAAGCACATTTATCTGGAGTTTTCTCTGTTAAGTATAAGAATTCTAAATATATGCTAATAATTGTCATTTACTCATATGTAGACCTATATATAAATATATAATTATATTTATATCCGTTTATTTGACATAGATGCACTGTCATAAAAATTGGCTTAAGTTAAATTTAATTTGAACACAAAAGGCTAGTCAAGGCCGGCGGTGAGGGAGGGGAGAGAAGAAACGTAGAGGTTCTGTAACTCACTGTTGCGATCAATTGAAATCTCACTGCCATCGGACCAGCCGGACACAGCACGTCTTTCTCTTTTATTTAAACCAGCTGTAACTTAAATATACTTTAACTCAAGGTGCCAGGTTGAATCTAAAAAACCGAGTCAACAGAAATTAAGGCGTTTCTTTTTTCAACATAACTGCAAGAAAATGAAATAAAACATGTTGTTTAACATTTTATTCTGTTGTTTTTAGAATATTACTGTGTCGCAGTGCATGCCGGGAGATCAGTGACCCGAAGTTGTGTTGCGCACTACGGTTATTACGTTATATTAGCAATAAAGATGTACACGGAACTAAATAAAGTCATCTGAAATCTGCTTAAAGTTGTTTAATAACACGCGTTCACAACAAAAACCGCGAAAATGTGGACATTAAGTCATTTTAAATCAAAGATTAAATAAGCGAGTAGAGAGATAAATCCCCGCATCTGTACTCGATTCCCTGGATAACAACGCTCTATTCTGTTCGCCGCTTGTTTTTTTTTAGCAGTTATGGTTATTTTACACTATAAAACTAACGCTTCTCAGTTATACTTTGTTATTTTGTATCATTCGCCTGGACTTTTTGTTTTCTGTGTTTGCACTAACAAATGTTTTTTTCCTCTCTTAACCGCTCGGTTGCTGATTGTGCGTTTCACCCTGAGATGGCAGCATCAGCCCGTCGAGCCCACAACAACGTGACTGGTCCACTAGTGAATCAAGTCCGGCTGCCGTGTTGGTAAGTACGCTTTCCGGATACATTGCTTTCAGGTTCCACGTAGCCTTTTAACAGCTACAGTTCAGACCAGGGTACACTATCACACGGTAGTCTTTGACAACAGTCAACACTCAGTCCGGGGTTAGCTCAGGGCAGACGGTGAACATGACGTGTTGTAAAGTAAAAAAAAACAAACAAACAAACTCCAGAGCCTCCCCCAGTGACCTCACATACACTTATCAGAAGTAAGTAAAAAAACAAAACACCAGAGCCCCCCCAGTGACCTCACATACACTTATCACGTGAAGTGGAATGGAAGAAATGTCCCTTCCTCAAAGCACTTAGCATACACAATGCTGGACTTCAAAGAGGTGCATTGCTATAATAATGCATCCATGTATGCATAAATAGATGGTTAAAAAAGAAAAAGAAAATAGACAATAATCTGAAATACAATTGCTGTGCAGTATGTTTTATAAACAGTCTGCATTAAAGAAACATACAGACTATGAGACTATAAAGCTGTAAACTGGCGAAACCCGGGCATTGAGATATTGGGTTTTCATTAATGTACAGAAGCGGATAACGATTTTTAGGGATATTACATACTTATGCTAATATCAGTACGGTAATATCAGTCGGCCAAATATAATCACCTCTAGGTATTATTTTTTAAATTTTCTTACTTGGCATCTCAGGATTCATCAGGAAGGGCATTTTCCGATCAAACCGTGTCAGAGTATATCGCAACTTTACATACTTTATGTTAATGTGACTACCCGACCCCAACTGTATAAAAACTACTTTTTAACAACTTATTAATAGACATTTACTGATTGCCACCAACTCTTTTTTTATATATATGAAAATATTTTAGAAACATTCCTTTAGAGGATCTGTTTTTTTGTCTGCTCAAAAGCAAAGTCTCCTCCATATCCCGGGTTCGATCTAAACGACCCCTAACTACGCTGAATTACAGATTGAAAAAAAAAAAAAAAACCCAACGTAGACATGGAAGAGCTGCTGCTGTGACAAGTGCTGCTGAGCCCAACGACTCAGACCACAGGAGCACCGTCATCGACCACTCTCTCGGCTCTTTAATGAATTTCCTCTGAATTGCGGAAAGTATTTCTCGCAGTGCAAATGCACAGCAGCGTGGGTTTAATGATTTGTCCCCGCAGTTTAAATCGATGATGCTAGAAGAACCTCAATCCATCCAGCGTCATTGCTCTCTTTCCCTTTCGGTTTCTGATTATATGGTCTGCGAGCTGTCTTTCTGCTCTCGCTCGTATAATCTTGCTCTAAAGTCGTTCTCTGATATCCTTGATCAATAGCTCTTCCATATGTCTGTGATTCATTAAGTCATCGGAAAAAACTGCTTTGATACAATGACAGGAACGCTTCGGTTTTCCTCGGATAATTCCTAGGTTTTGTCAAATGACGCGTGGCCTCAAAAGATTTCGGGGAAAAACGGCTGTATATGAAAGTGAAAGCCACTAGATGGCAGCATTGCAGCTCATTTTATTAATCTAATGCTGGTGCCAGCAACTCGTACAGTGGTTTGTTCAGATAATCAAATAAATATTACCAGGCCCTTAATAGTATTTAAATTCGGGGGCGGTGTAATAACTTCTGTCCTCTAGGGGCATGGTAGAGCTATTCGTGCTAGCTAGCCCTGGCTAGTACATGCAAGTGCACTAGTAGTGTTTGGCTAAAATGATGTGTTAAATCTGGCAAAATCTCTTCCCTTCGCCACCATCCCGAGTCGTGCGTTTAAGTCCGGCCGTCCCTTTCGTATGTTCATATGTTACTTTCATCGTTGCTCTTCGGTCTTTAGCGAAATCACATCACGTCGTCTTCCCGGAACCCTTGGACCGAACAGACTTTCAGATCATTACTAGGAATCGTTAGCATTAGCGCGTCTCATGATAACAGGTCAGAGAGTCCAAGTCTGCGCTGTCGCTGACGATTATACAGTATCAATTACCACAACAAGATATGTATTGTGTTACATCAGCTAATGTGCTCACTCAGTCTGTGACCTGGCCCACTTGGACCCTCTCAGCATCTATTAATGGGACGGTGTAATCTGTGATGACGTGACCCGTAAATAACGCTGGCTGAGGAGGGGAGGTGTGCGTGCAGCGTAGAGTTCATCCGACTGTATGCTTCAGTGCGTCACACCTGCTGTTATCCTGACCTTTATGCAAATGTAAATCGGAGTTGTTACAGACGTCAGTGGCAACATTTTAAGTCACACAGAGTGCCATCACAGAATATTCCAGAATGCGCAGGCGAAAGGCTGAGCAGGGTTTCAGTGGCACAGAGTCATTCACCCTCACAGTCGGTCAGGCGCTGCACCTGTTCACTGTTTGTGATGATAAACACGTTTCGGCACATTACCATAAAACTGTAAAAATGGTGTTGTTGGTAATGCGATAATGGCTATGAGCAGTTTGTCAAATCTGTGTCGGAGTTTTGTTCCTACAGCACGACTCGATTTTATGCCATATTTTATGCCATAGGTAGGAACTCACATAGTGTACATAAATGTCACTTACACACACTAACACAGCGGTAACATCATAATCTAGGACATAAAAACATCAGTTTTTAATAAAAACATTCTGCCTGGAAGCCATAATGAAGGGCACAAAGTTCCCAAAAACAAAAAAAAAAAACACAATGTAAAGAAAGTAAATGTAGCACAGCTCCATGTAAACAAAGTGTTCCAAATGTAAACAAAGCTGTCGTCTGCATCTAGCGCCGTTGCTAATTACCAACTAATTACCGAATACTTCCCGTGCGAAATTTGTTTAGCGCCGTACGTTGACAGATGGAACCGAACTTTCCAAATAAATTTATGAGCGAAGGCGTCGTAACCGTGAAATGTCGTTGTGTCGAGGACGTGGTAAACCGATGACCTACTGTGACCTATGTGACCTATTAGGCGATTATAGATGCACTAAGTAATTGTGCATGGATCTAGCTAACTACTTAGCAGTTAGCATCAATTTGATTTTTCTACCTTAACTTTTTAATAGACGGCGTGTGCATAAGAAACAGGTGGAGCAAAATTTTGAGGAAAGGGACATAAGATTGACAGTTGTAGCATTCTGTCTGCCCAGGTAAGGCGGGTGAGGAGATCGATGCTAGCTGTTGCCTCAACTGAGAGAACTGAATATGACCAAGAGAGGGCAGCATTGCAGCAATATGATATCATCTGCCGTTCAATCTATTTGAGGAAGAAGATGAATGCTTACAGTGCTACCGCGGTTTAGATGGAGCGAATCACGGAAACGTGCGACGATCCCACAATGAGCGAACCTCAAAGAGACTAATGGCTGTATATAAACTCGGCGGCTGTACCGTGCACATGCCCGCGTGTCGGAATCTCTTGCTGTGTGGGCAAAAGATGACATCACAGATGACAATCAAAGCCTTGTGAAAGGCGTGCATAAGACAACTTCTTGACTGGCTAGCAGGCAACTTATTGAAGATATCTTAAGAGGCATCACTTGTCTTGCTAGGGAACAAGGATGTCTGTCCTCCCACTGAGCACTAGCAATAAACATTTTTTGTTTTGGACTCTGGGAACCCTCCTTAACTTATTATTCTTCTGTCTCGGAAGAACTCCTTGGCGAAGGGGAAAAAGTCCTTCCCCTCGCCAACGCGGCACGTTATGCCTCGGGTATCTCTTTGAAACCAAACCAAACATTTGCGAGCGGTCGTTTGTCTGCAAATGCTCCGGTTTGTAGGAGTCAGCGGTGGTTTTGAAAGTCTTTGTTTCCACCCACTTATTGCTACCGTGGCTCCTCCGACACGCACGATGACTCTACGTCTCTGGAGCACAACACGACGTCAAAATAGACTCGTCAAAAACAACCTATTAGACGAAGATCCCTCGTAGCCGTTTGGGGGTAAATGCGTATGTAAAAACCTCATATTTTTCAAAAATCAGATCAAATTAAAATTGTCTCGGTGCACGATTTTAGAAGGGCAGATGTGTCGAGGTGAAACCAGGTCAGACACGTTATTGTGTTTGTTCTACCGACAGAGAGTGGACACCAGCATCTGCAACGCAGGCTGTTCTGGGATCAGTCATACCTCTCTAAAGACTTTAAATGGGGTCTAATCCCGGAAGTCCTGATGAGATTTGTTTAGAATTCGCTCTTTAGAACACCGCTAGCGGTAGCACTGTTGGATAAGTTGACGGAAGGAAATCAGCGAGGGATTAAAGATCATAGAAAACCTTTGTTCTGACCCTTTAATCCATCAGTGGGACTATGGTGTTGTTTTGTTTGGCTCCTGCTAAGCTTGCATTCAGGCGTTTGTTACATGTGCACAAGGAAAACACGGGAGCTAAAAGCTAGCTCCGCTACTGTAGATGAGTCATAAAGTATGTCAAAATATATAAATATATTGTTAGCTTTTATTTATGGTGGACCGGTGGTAGCTTGTATAATAGCAACAATAAGAAGATCGAAGGTCGGATTATTGGATCCACAGAGTATTTTGTGTTCGAGTTTAACTTTAACAAGTATTTTTATACAGTACCGTAAGTGGTTCCAGAAACCAACAGTTGGTCGGTTTGTTTTCGTTAGTTGCGACGCAAACTGCGGGACGGCAGATAACCAGTGCAACCGATTAGTCGGGGCTTGCCGCTCACTGGCCGAATCCGTGCCCAGCAGCTGCTAGCTGATAACAACAGGAAACAAAGGCCGTAAACGCATCACAGAAATAACAGATTGCTCCTTGCTGCACTTTATCACTTTAAAGTGCTGGGCGTTTAGGCGTTAACAGATCCTCGGAATAAATGAAGATCATAAAAAAAAACCAAAAACAAAAAAAAAACAGCAACAACACAATATTAGGCTGCAGCAGATAAAAAAAAACACGGATTTTGAAGGAGCAAAGCAAAGCAACACTTAGGCACCGCAGGGGATTTATTAAAAAAAAAACTAAAGGGTTTTCCTTTGTAATAGCGAGTGCAGTATTTCGTGAATTGTTGGACTTTTCAC